TAAGGTGCAATTATACTGTAATTTCTGTGCAGTATAAAATGGTATGTATTCTCACTGATGCACTGGTGGGGGCACCATGCTGTTGCTTCACCGCTACATGATATATCACTCCGTCCTCTTCCTCCTCCAACACAGTAGACTGAGGAAGAGAGAAAGTATGATTCAGTAAAATACGTGCATAATTCATACTCTTGCACAAATCTCCCACTGTCATCAAACCATGATTTATACGGAAAATCTAGTTATTCATGCATATCTCAAGTTTCTTTGACCTACCAAGTCCAGAGGACAGTACCAAGTAGTCTTCATGGGGGAAGCCTCCACCTGTGGAATACAACAACATACAATAAATATTAATACTGTAACATGATATGAACAAAATGACCAGAACCAGAACCTCAGGTTTTAGCATAGCATAAAACCCTGACGTGCCCATGAAGCATATTATGTTATTATAATTGTATAATAATAAACATAAATATTTAGGAGTTTCAAAGGGCAAAGCAGTTTAACAGAAAATATCTGAATGGGTTGAAAAGCGAAAACAAACAAATATCACCAGAATCTGATAAGGTTGTATATGAAGTAGAGTATGTCTTAACACAAAACAATACACAGTAAATTGTAAATGCAACTAAACCTATGGATCACAACATCTTTCATATGTTTTGGAAAACAAACAATGCATCATTTCAACAGAAATTATAACATTCCATGAAATACACTTGCCATTTGAATACTTGCAAAACAGCTGTGATACTGTACTGAAATGACCTGCTCACAGTTTCACTGAACCATTCCATGAAATAGGCCTACTATGAGTAAAATAACGAGACATCCTAATGTACCTGGGGGGTAATGCATTAATGGATATATCAGTTTACACTTCCCCTGCCATTGACACCCATGTAACTGTGGTTTTCCATGCTGAAAAATGCATGAGAAAACACAGTGACATCATCAATAGTCTCTACTGACCTCAACAATCCATACCAGTGATACAAACAGAAGTCAGATTCTAGTCATATGTGAATCATTCAACATGTATAACCACCCCCCTTAATTAAACCATAACAACATCAACAGAACAACAACAATATCAAACGTTTAAAATCTATTTAAGGCATTGCACAGCCTCCTTTTGCATTAATTTCCCCTTCAGTTGAGATCCAACCACAATATGATGATAAGCAATATCCAGGTCAACATATAAGTGCAAATGCATTAAGCACAAAGCAGGTCATATTGACCACTGACCAGACAGTTCCGCAACAACTGCTGTATCCTATAATGTGTCTATCAATCTCCTTATTTGACATGCGGAGGTGCCTTCTATAACTACTTTCAGTAACCACTTTCTCATTCAAATCAACTTGAGTACCAAAGGGCCATGCTCAGTTAATGTATCATTTGCATTAAAAGTGAAAGTATTCTATTCAATTCATAGTCCCTCTATTATCATGGCATAGGGCGGCAGGTAGCTTAGTGGTTAAGAGCGTTGTGCCAGTAACCGAAAGGTCGCTGGTTCTAATCCCCAAACCGACTAGGTGAAAAATCTGTCGATGTACCCTTGAGCAAGGCACTTAACCCTACTTGCTCCTGTAAGTCACTCTGGATAAGAGTGTCTGCTAAATGACTAAAATGTAAAAATGTAAAAATAGGTTCAGAACATGTTGGTCTACCTACTGATGTAGCATGTTTCTGTTGTTGATCTCATATCTGTCTGTTGCTCTTTCTCTTTCCCACCTATCTGTATCTGATTGACATTGACCCAAAAAAACACAAGTTACCTTTGTCTCGACAAGTCCAGACAGGCTACAAGCCTTTAGCTTCTTTGAGAACTTCACAAGAAAGCCACAAACACCATCTTGTCCACTTTCTTTCATCTGCCTTTTTAGTTTCCTCTTCTCTCCTTGACCGTTGTTTTTCAATGACGGAGGGACAGGATTGTATGTCTTTATCTTTCAGTTTGTCTGGCTCTCGGACATAACACACATAAACACACCTGAAGCCGTCATTAGGTAGGTTCACCCCCTCTGTGTGCCTACGTCACATGGGCACACCCATAACACACACAGAGATAGACGTATACAGACGTATACACACACTCACACTCGCTCGCTCGCTCGCACACACAAACACACACACACACACACACAGGAGAGGGATGATATAGTATTAGACTCACCTGTTGAACACACAGGGGACTCACATAGCCTACACACAATGAGAAGGCCTGCAGCTATTGGCTCACAATACCTTCTCTCTTTCAATCCCTCCTTCCCTCTCTCCCTGTGTGAATGACCTACATTTGTTGCTAAACCTGTTTGACTACATCTCTTCCCACAATGAACAGAGTCAATTTAGAGGCAGACCTAACTGTCTAAACTCATCCTCCATCATCAATATTTCAACAAACTTGCCCTGAGGATCATTACATCCTCTGACACTGACCTGTTAATATATGTCATATGCTAATGACAGTTCATAAATGTTCCAAGTCAACTAATAAAGCAGGAAGCACGCCCTGTTTACTCAACGGGATAACGACACTAGCGGGTGAGCACATGTTGACACACAGGTGGGGACTTTCACAGCCTCACAATGACAGACTGGTTCAGGCTACAGCCTGTCAGCACTAGTAGAAGCTAGGTCTGGCTGTTAGCATAAGCAAATGTTAGCATGTTAACCAACTGTAGCTAGCATAGACTACTAGCCTTTGTTAGCCTGTGTAGCTCTGTTTACCGGCACCTATAACCGCACTGTCTGCACACATATGACTCTATGCAACAGACAGAAGGAAGGTTGTGTAAGTATATGGAGATGTTGAAGATGATTTCTAGCCTTGGTTTATTCAGCTCAATGTACACAGAAAGAACATAGAAGATAGAACATAGGACTTTTAGAGATGATTATTTGTGTGTTGTCATCAATGCTAGCCTACATCAGGTCACATAAAACAGAGAAGTCTTTGTTCTGTGGGCCTACAGTAGCACTGTGCATTCAACTAATCAGGGTGTTATTAACTAGGCGTAGAGCATGGCGTTTGCAACGCCAGGGTTGTGGGTTCGATTCGTATGCACTCACTAACTGTAAGTCGCTCTGGATAAGAGTGTCTGCTAAATGACTAAAATGTAATGTAAATGTAAAAGCACAGTCGCTGTTTCTAAGAGACTGCAGTTGTAAAAGTGAGGCAAAATACTTGTTTACATTTTTAACATAGGTCTACTGTATGCCTACTTTCCCATGTTATTATGTTTTTGTCTCAAGCAGTAGGTCTAAGGTTAAGTTTACCCACAACTCTTCCTGGTACAGTTAGCTACAGTATAACTACTTCCTTGGGACCATCCGTGTCAACCTCAACCAACCACAATCACCACATCTCAATCTGTGAGTGGCGATGGAACCGAGAGGCACCAATGAGGATGTCTAATATTGTGGCATGTAACAACCCCTACAGTGTTTCTGTTCTACCATATGCACAAAATCTTTGAATCTTTTCTAGTGTATTTTCCCCAACAATCGATACAAGGACTTGGCTCATCCACTGTAAGGAAAAGCTGGCTCAGGGAGAGGATGAAAATAATCATGAAAGTAAGTGGCTGCGGTTCATTCCATGAGAAACATCTTGATAAGGAAATGTGCTTGACCCTCCTCAGATACTGTATCATTCAAATCTCCCAATTTTGTCTGCTCATGTTTACAGATTTTGTCCAATGTTTTCTTTCGTTCGCCCACTTTTTCCATTGTTGCTAGTTTTAACTCAATGGTTATCCTCTTTATGTGGAACCTCTCTCATGATTCAACATGTTCCTTGTCTCTATATTTCCATCTTTCCTCGCCATAGAGGAAGTACATTATGAGCAGAGACAAACACAGGAAGCAGGATGTGCTGTCGTGACGAGCTGCTATTTTTTCTCCTTCTCTTTCCCTCACAACCCGGCCTCCTCTGACCGCTACGATGGGCATCGGTGCAGGGGGAAAAAGCAGGAAGAGCCTCACAATCTCTCTATCTTCACCCCCTGTCTTTACACAGTCTCAAGTTCTATTTCCGTCACTTGTTCGTCAACATCAGACATTTTGGGCTTTGTCCCTTTAAATAAGTATCTAAGGTTGTACAGTATGAGCAAATGGGTATGTGAGCAAATGGGAGCGTATTGTCATGTGAAAGCGTAATCCCACCGCTGACACCAATATTGTTGACTACTTTACACAGCAATACAATTGGGGCTCGTAAATATATCGTCTGAAGTTTTATTTAAAGATGCCTATTGTTTTGTTTTGTGCTCCCTTGCTCTCCCTCTCAGGCTCCCACCCCTTCCTTCCCATCTTTCCCCGCTCTTCTTCTCACGCTTTCATCTGTGCATCCCATGGTACCCTCTCTACCCTTTAAAGTGAGCCCTGGTGGTATTCTGGTCAGAGCTGCTCTATTTCCTTATTTCAAAGTCTTATCTGAAATCTCTTTTAAATCTTTGGTTCATAAGGTTGTTTTAACTATCAGGGTTATATCGGCAATACACTTTGTTTCTTCTTCAGAAAGAATATTCAATAGACTATATGGGTCACCACAGCACTATGTGACAAACCATATGCCCTATTTTAAGATAAAAATACTATTGAAATGATTCCACCAAGCTATACCTGCAAAACAAATGTTGCTGCTGGTAGCTCATATCTATGAAACCTGACCTAAAGAACATGTTGCACTGTGTGGAAAAGTTGAATTGTCTGCAGGGGGGTGGATTGTCGTTGTGAGGCCTGACCCCATTGTCTAAGCCCATTCCACATGCATCTAAGTTTCCCTCATTAAAGAGTGATCAAGTGGCTGGATTCAATTCCACTTGATAGAATGTCCTCTGAAACCCGGCCTATGATATCTGAGTGGAGTGGTGGAGGTGTACAACACATAACACATAGACCCACCAGCTGGCAGCCACCCATAGATTATTTACCACGAGGCTGTGCAGTGGTCATGTCATGTGACATAAACAGAACAAGAGGGACGTTACCACTGCAGCTGGTGTCAGAGTCAGTGTGACTTCTTTTTATAGCCCCGGGGAGTTTCTTGAGACTGCATGCTAAGTGAAGACAAAGCCAATGAGACGATCATCATGTGCACTATGCACTAAAGCCAAGTAGCAAGTGTATGAGAGTTAGTCAGTGGAAAATTATGGAGTTCATTGATATCTAATTAAGAGACAATAAAGTAAATGGAATCACGTTTTCATCTTAAATTGAACTGATACGGTCTGCAATTATTGGGTGAATATAATGATTTGTCAAATCAAAGCGATGAAATTACATAGGCCTAAGTGTCATAAATGAAGTAGTATAATATCTCACAACACATTATTTACTATAAAAGAGGCAAGAACTTACAATGGAAACAATTATATGTGTACTTTAGGGTTGAAAAGGAGTAAAACCCACACATTAGTGACAGAACAACAAGGCTGTGTGAGTAGAGTAGAATAACCCAGCAACTGACTGCCACAACTAGTCTGATAAAACCTTTACAGCCTCTGTCTCGGCCAATGGAACATTAAGAAAGGTTAAAAATCATGAGAAAAACACGCATGCTGTCAACCTGTCCAGGTTTGCACACTTTCAAACAACTTACACAACCCTTTCTGTTTCAGGTGAATTCAACTGGATATAAATAAATACTGAATTACAATAGAACATACATCTAATATGGTCATAAAAGTAATGTTTAAGAAAGCAACATCTTAGCAAAAATGTTACAGTAGTCTACTTAGAAATCTCAAGACATTAGCTTTTTATTCAATGTGTGGTGGTCAAACATCATCTCATTCACTGGCAGGTCTTGATGGAAAGTACCTCCTCTTTAGTGTCTGTCTTTGAAATCAAAATGACTGAAATCCCTGAGGCTCTTTGAAAACCAACCGACCGCATCTGCTGTTTACTCAAAGGAACTGGTAAGAGAGCCCTGTTACCACGGTTTCACAGACCACTGCTCTAATACCCTAACCCCCTACCCTGGTTGGTCTGAGGAACGTGATTAATTTTAAAGGGCGACCCGACCAAATTCACATAGAAATGTACATCTGTTATTCCCATTGAAAGCACAGTCTAAGAAGCTGTAGAGCTGTTCTATGTGTGCTATTTCTATGCTTCCCGGTCTTAAGTTTCATTTTTGAGACTTTTACTTTAGGTTTTGTACACCAGCTTCAAACAGCTGAAAATACAATATTTTTGGTTATGGAAAAGATATTTCACAGCGGTTTAGATGGTAGAATGATTCTCTACATTCCCAAACTCGGTCCTGGGACCCCCCCTTGGTGCACGTTTTGGTTTTTGCCCTAGCACTACACAGCTGATTGAAATAATCAAAGCTTGATGATGAGTTGGTTATCTGAATCAGCTATGTAGTGCTAGGGCAAAAACCAAAATGTGCACCCAGGGGGGGGGGCCCCAGGACCGAGTTTGGGAAACCCTGCTCTACACTATACTTGCAAATTATTAGAATTTTTGCAGAGCGATTTCTGCATAGTGCATCTTTAAATTATATGACACAGACGTGTTTCTGTATCAAATCATCCATTTATTGGATTCACCATATCAGGTGAATTAATATGAGACCACTGGAGAAAGTTTGCTATATGAGAGAACAGGTAACAGTGCCCTCCATAACTTTACAGGTATTAAAGTGCAAGTGCACCTTGATGTCTCTCTCAGCACAATGAAACTATTACTGTAGTTAATTGCCGTGAATGATTTACTTACAGTACATGTTCCTAATCAAGCTAATCAAATATAAAATCACTTCCAACCTCAGAGGAGTCCAGTCCAGTACTGTCAGTCACTTGTCCTGATTGGCTGCTGAGGGGAATATCGTCAGGCGCTAAAGGCCGGTAGCCAATAAGGGGTACATCCCTTGACTCCACCCCTGGCAGGTCCATCCCACCTGTTCGCATATTACGAGGGATCATGGTGCCTACGGCTAGAGACACAAAATAAACAATAGGCACATATGGGGTTAATTGGTTATAATTTCAACTTCAGAGAACTTCAGAAAATGAGAGTAGATGGCACAGTGTAACCAACATCATTTTATAGTTCATGGAATTTAACCAACTCTGAAAGGCATACATAAAAAATAAAAAATAAAGTATATATACTTTACAAAAAAAAGTATTGTGTACCAAAGCTTTGGTTGTAGCAGGTCAATTAGCAGTTCATTTGTTTACATGACTTACATTTCACTGTGCTCTGCTCCAGCATTGAATTTGAATGCCAACTCTTCCTTCCCTTTCCCCTTTCCCTCCCTGAGATGTGGATTGCCATGATGATAGAACTCTTTAAAACACTGTTACACTATAGGGTAGGAGGAGGATGTTGACATGTACCACTATATCTATTTAGAGACTGTAGATACTAATTGCTGATTCACATGAATGAAACTGTTTTATCAAATTTTTTGCCAAGCAAGTGTGGTGTAGGCTACTGTGTATGAATGTCCAGTATATGGATATGTCAGAAGACTTGCTGTTCTTATATGGTTCATGTCATTACTTCAATAACGATGCTAAATGTGCTTAAATAGGTGGAACAAACCTTTTATGTTTAATATTTATCTGTATAATTAAGGGTTTAGGCTACCTGTTATACATAGCTTTTTGTCTGTGAAATGAAATGCACTTTTCTACCCTACATGCACTTATACACTAGCCTTTTATGGGACACTAATCAACTCAATCACGTCATCTTTGGGAACATGGTACTACATTTTTAAGTCTATTTCAGTCTTGAGGGCATGCATATAATTAGGCCTAGTGTTATTTGTAATTTTTTAATTGGTCATAGGAAAACATATCTGTAAAGGTTGTCTATATACTGACTGTTAGTTTTGTCTTAATAACCAACCAACCAACTGTTATCCAAAGGTCTGAATAACTTCCATTCATGACATTGCTGCTTCTCATGACGAAGGCAAACATTACATTTTGGTCTGCATGAGTGAGTCCACACTGTAACTAGGCTACATACAGATGGTCACACCCCAATTGCATATGTTCCCTTTCAATTCAACCAACCGATGGGTGGTGCTGTATCGACTTCTTAACCAAACTGTGTTCACCTTCAATCATAGGAAACAAGACACTATGGATATTAAACGGAATATGGTAATAAAGTTTGCGTGTAAAGCATTTGTTTCTTTAGTAACCAAATACATAAGGTTTAGGCCTATTTATAGAAGGCCATATATATTCAATGTTATGAGGGCCCTGCAATTAAAGAGATGATGAAATTACAAAGTGTCATTCATGGCTATATCGTATGAACGAACTTACTGGATATTGTGTGTCCAACTGTGGTCAGCTAAATTCCGCCAGCATTGGATAGCTGTATTGTCTGCCTCCGTGGAATATACGGTAACCGGTTAGTGGACGAATGTCGCGCCCATCTGTTCCAGCACCGACGTCGGAAGAGAGTCTCTCTCCCGCTCTATCAGTATCTGTGTCCCCCTCTGGTCGCCTGTCAAGCTTCTATCGGCTGATAGCAGCACGAGCACATTCGTGTACCGCACACTCCCTCACTGCTCTCTCTCTGTGCTCTGACGGCACAGTTCCTGTATATGTGTACTCAGCGCGTTTAGCAACACAGCCTACACTTGTCTCACTGGAAGAGAGAGGGGGAAAAAGTGGTCATCTCGGAAATATAGTCTATGTAGTGTACAATATGAAAAATGTTTAGTCATCTATGGGCTCCTAAAATTGGGGTTTAAGAACAAAACCAATAATAATTCCGTATGGAAAGCACACACACACACACACACACACACACACACACACACACACGTGATATAACTTAATATTTTATCTGTTGGATTTAGATTTTTTATTTTATTTTTGCTACCTGCCACATTCCCCCCCCCCCCCCCCCCCCCCCCCCCCCCCCCCCCCAATGCTGACAGCAGGGGGAAACATTTCCAAAATGAAATTGACCCAAACACTGCTGGAAGGTATTACAGGGTGTCATGCCCATAGGGGCCACAAGGGTTTGTGCCCCCTCAGATTTGTCCTTTTCTTATTTGTTTCAAAAAATGTATGTAAAAAAATATATAAATAAAAAGGTTCCTTCCAAGGTGCATCACAGAGCAAAGATATGCTAGGCAGAACGCTAGATACTGTAGTTCAGGGATCAATAACTAGATTCAGCCGCGGGACGATTTGTTCTTGAGCGGATGGTCAGGGAGCCGTAACATCATTACAAATAATTTGTAGACTGCAAATTGACCGCAAGAAGCCCAAACAGGTATTATATTTGACTAAAACATGATCATTTCAAACCTTGCTTACATTTGTATACAATTACATATATCTCTATATTATGGATGGTAATTAAAATCACTTGGAGCTGATTTGCTGGTGTTTTTACAGTCTTTTATGTCAAACAATAAAAAATAAAACAAACGTTTTTTCTTTTTTTCTTTGAAAACTGGAGGGGCCAAATAAAATCACTCACGGTCCTAATTCGTTCCGCGGGCCGACAGTTGGGGAACCCTGCTCTAGTGTGTGTGCAGTCAGTATCACCAGTAGAGGAGGAGAGAGAGTGTTGATTAACACACAGAGTTTCCTTTGATTTTAGCTGCCGGTGATGGACTCGCAGGAGGTATGTTTGTAAATTAATTTGATCAATCTATTTAGCCTATTGATTCCTTCTTGATTAATAAATAAATCTACAATGTTTTGTTGTTTCTCTGTAATACTAGCCACCTAGCAATTTTATGAAGTTGGCTTTCGCTAGCCAGCTAGATACACTACATGGCCAAAATAATGTTGACACCCCTTCAAATTAGTGGATTCGGCTATTTCAGCCACATCCGTTGCTGACAGGTGTATAAAATCGAGCACACAGCCATGCAATCTCCATAGACAAACATTGTCAGTAGAATGGCCAGTACTGAAGAGATCAGTGACTTTCAACGTGGCACCATCATAGGATGCCACCATTCCAACAAGTCAGTTCGTAAAATGTCTGCCCTGCTAGAGCTGCCCCGGTCAACTGTAAGTGCTGTTATTGTGAAGTGGAAACATCTAGGAGCAACAACAGCTCAGCCGCAAGGTGGTAGGCCACACAAGCTCACAGAACGGGACAGCGTAAAAATTGTCTGTCCTCGTTTGCAACACTCACTATCGAGTTCCAAACTGCCTCTGGAAGCAACATCAGCACAATAACTGTTTGTCGGGAGCTTCATGAAATGGGTTTCCATGGCCGAGCAGCCGCACACAAGCCTAAGATCACCATGCGCAATGCCAAGAGTCTGCTGGAGTGGCGTAAAGCTCAGCGCCATTGGACTCTGGAGCAGTGGAAACGCGTTCTCTGGAGTGATGAATCACGCTTCACCATCTGGCTGTCCGACCGACGAATCTGGGTTTGGTGGATGCCAGGAGAACGCTACTTGCCCCAATGCATAGTGCCAACTGTAAAGTTTGGTGGAGGAGGAATAATAGTTTGTGGAAGGGCACTTTCCTGTTTCAGCATGACAATGCCCCCGTGCACAAAGTGAGGTCCATACAGAAATGGTTTGTCGAGACCGGTGTGGAAGAACTTGCACAGAGCCCTGACCTCAACCCCATCATCCTTTGGGATGAATTGGAATGTCGACTGCGAGCCAGGCCTAATCGGCCAACATCAGTGCCTGACCTCACTAATGCTCTTGTGGCTGAATGGAAGCATGTCCCCGCAGCAATGTTCCAACATCTAGTGGAAAGTCTTCCCAGAAGAGTGGAGGCTGTTATAGCAGCAAAGGGGGGACCGACTCCTTATTAATGCCCATTATGTTGGAATGAGATGTTCGACAAGCATGTGTCCACATACTTTTGGACCATGTAGTGTATGTTCCCAAACTCCCAACCTCATAACTAGCTACCAAGCTATTTCAGGCTATTAATCAAGTTAGAGTAGCTTGTCTAACTATCTTCCCTTGCATGACTGCTGGCAAGGTTGCTAGACTTTAGAAAAGCAAGCAATTACTAATGACTCACATTCCTTTCAATATTTTACCTAGATTTTCGTGGAGATGCAGAGAAGCATATTTAGGGCTATGATACTATATACTAGTGTGGTAGTTGTACTAAACTCCTAAGGTATAAAAGGTCTTAAAGAATCAATGTGCATCATTCATTAAAATAACAATTGAACAGGTAAAGAGGTATGCTTAGATAACCTATGCAGAAAAATAGACATATTTTTAACATAGTCATAATGATCATGGCTTTAGATTGCAGGAAAAAACTGTTTCAGGTGTTTGAAAAATGAAAAATTCTCCAACTTATGGAGGGGGGAACAACCCCCCTTTATAATAATGGGTCCATGACCAAAATTTTCCCTTTAAGCTGTGTGTGCGCAGGCTCGCAGTATCCCCGAGACTGCCATGCAGGGTGAAGAAATATCAGCCCATAGAGAGAAGCACGAGATTGAACTTCACTCAACTTTCTAGAGTTTTCCCTGTTAGTTAACACTATTAATGTTTCCCTTTACTGTGGCAATTGTGATCGAATCAATGCAATATTAGCCACTTTCAATGCAAGATACCGAAACAAAACTAACTATGCAAGAGATTTTGTTGTAGGCAGAACGCATCGGAGTAGGATTCTATTGCATTGACACGCACGACTCAGCCCATAATCTAAACAGACCTGTGCGGCATAACCAATCAGAGCTGCAGTAGGCCTATATGCAAATAGACCAATGCCATATATGGATCTGTGCCATTTACTTTGAACTGAACTGTGTTTACAGCATGAGCAGTCATGAGTAGATGCGCTTGTTTTGAGATCAAGGCGAATTGCCAATAGGCAGAGGGTAGCATAATTTGTCTGATTCTCAGTAATAATGGTATGGGAATAATAATGCATTTTATTTTGTAAAGTGGTTTCTTGCATCAAACAACACAACAACATGTTCAGTCACCTCCTTGTCTGAAGGACAAGTGGATAAATGTATGCACTCACTAACTGTAAGTCGCTCTGGATAAGAGCGTCTGCTAAATGACTAAAATGTAAAATGTAAATAAACAGGTAAATGTCAAGCCCTATATGTTTTTTTCAAAAGTCTCATGGAATGTAGGCCTACATTGAACACCACACATTGGCTGCTACGGTAGGCTGAATGATAGAACAGTTATTTCCATGTTAATATGTTAAGGAATGCATTTTCTTCATTGTTTTTGATGGTAGGCCACTCTGGTAGGCCCTACATTATGATCAAATAGCCACAGTAGCCTACTTGGCCAATGTTAAAACTGTAACTTAAAGCGTGTACACCCTCAGGGTTCATAGTAAACGCGCGCTGGAAGTTGCACATAATGTTCAGAATGTTCAAATTTGCGCTCAGCAGACCTGAAATTTGCTCAGTGCCGAAAAAAATGAGAGGGAACGTTGTCCATGACACCCCTGGATGTAATTATCATAATGGTGCTCATTTCCTTCATTCTCTAGAAGCTTATTCTAATATTCTTAATTAAACCCTTCTATAGACACTAGCCACACTGAGTGTTGACTCGTTTTTATCAGACTGTCTGCTTCCCATCTGCTCCGTCTCATGACAGAACTGCTCACAAAGCCCCGGCTGTGTGTGTGAGAGGCATCTTTATTCCCAAAGGGAGAGCACATGAAAGGCGTCAAGTAGTCAACCTTATGACCCCTACACAAGCCCTGTATTAACACGAATAGGGGTCCTTTTTCTCTTCTGTGATGATACTAAAGTTGGGCTAATGGGCTCACTATCCTGACTTGGTAAATAGTGAATCTTGTTGTGAGACTGCTAGGAGCATAATTCAGTTTTGCCATTATTCAAAGCAACCCACATCCAAATGCTAATGACACATTCCAAACATCTGTTATCGCACATTTATGTGAACTGATCTGTAGTTCAGCTAAATACCACCACTGCATTTGTATTAGCCTACCACTACACTACACCACTGACAGAGCAGTGTATTAAGAGGTGCAGTGTGCTCGCCATCTAGTGTTACCAATGAGGAACTCTCATTGTCATCCTTTAGAAATGCCAGTGGCCATTTTGAGCACAAAACAATATTACCATATGCTTGATACATTCATTTGACAAAAACAAGCAAATGAACAAATACATATAACCTAATGAGAAAAATAACCCCATGTGAAACACCTCATCACTTATCAGTTGTTTGACTATTCAATTATAGGCTATGTTGCCTACTCATAACATTGACAGTGCTAAGTTATGGTATGACACTTTTAAATGCCCTTTTATCTGCCATTCATAAATTATATACATGAACATGTGTGCAATTTCTAGGACTAATGATTAACCAATGGTAAATAATTACAATTGTTACTCATTCTGACAGATGGCAGGCATTGGTTATTACCATGTTATGTTATCACCCAGTTGTTAAACAATCACAATGAGTTGTATTATACATATTGTATATTGCAGCCTAAGCTATATAATACAAATGTATCGAAATATTAAGAAATGAGATAATTCATGATTACATTATGATTATAGTTTTCTTTTAGCTTACCAAAGCAAGGACACTATTTATTGTGCAATTTACTGAACGGTAAAAAAAGAAAAAAAAAAAGTGAATAACACGTGTGAGCGCAGCTTCCACTGGCCCTTTTAAAACTTTATCCAGGACTCCAAACTTGCAGCACCCTTCTTTGGGAGGTACCAATTAATGAGTTATGTAAACTTCCACTAATTGGCCACTTAAACTCCAGAGACTATCGTCGTCCGCTGATATTTAACTGGCTTTTAGCACAATTGAGTTCATTCTTCCGAAAACACAGCTTGCCTAGTCATAACGGTTTAGAGGTAATTTCTTCGGATGTTAAGGTGTTCCCGCCGCTGTTGCCCGGGTCCCCCCTATCTCCCTCCCACTCTATCTCTCGGTGTTTTATGTCTGCGTCACAACAAGTCGGTCGAGAAAGAGGCAGGGATGATGGCGTCTCTCGCGGGTTGATTCTCGTGCTGCTCTGACAAACACGCTTAATAGCATCAATAGGTGGAGAAAAGACAGCAAAGGCACGGGAACATGACGAAACGACGTCGCGGAGGACAGACAGAGAGAGACTGACGGACCGACGCTGTCTCACTGACTGCTTGACTGACATACGCGCTTGGCACAGACACATACATGCACATCCACTTTGGCACACACGTAGGCTTCACATCCAACCGGGCACTAATTGAGACGAGAGGAAAACAGAAGAGATAAAATATTTCATGTCAAGCCCGCACAGGAATCGCTGTGACCCCAACGGAGAGGAGTTCGACTTGACAGGTAGCTATGGCTCTCTGTTCATCCAACTACACTGTCTATGTTAATTGTTATTGATCTGAAAATGCTATTATGTATCATGTGTCTCTTTGACTTGAGTGTCTGCACTGGAACAAACGCTGGATGTGCAGAGATGATGTCCATAAGCTACAGTGATTCCTTTCTATTCAAGTTTGTAGTTTTAGATTTTCAAAGAGGATACAACACACAAGTGCATGATAAAGCAAAGTATAGAGGCGTACAGTGGTGTTACAATCAAACTACAGTGCAGTCATCATGCAGTGGTGTATGCATTTGCTCACATGTGTGGTGTCATAATGGTTTGTCCTGCTCTGTGCATGGGCACTTACCCTCATCATTACATCTGCTGGATTCTGACTGTGGCTATGCTGGGTTTGTGAGAATGTAACCCCTTATCCACTCCAGCCCAGTGCCTATGGAACGATAAGGCCATAAACCTCTGTCGTCAATGGCAGCAAAGTATAAATCGGATTTCCATTTCACATGAGCCCCCTCCTCTCCCTCTCCCCCTTCTCTCTCTATCTCTCTCACTCCTCTTCAGGATGGGGGGAGTAAGTGAAGGGGATGATGTGTTAGCTCGATGGAGTGATGGACTACTGTACCTTGGCAATGTGAAAAGAGTAAGTGTGTGTGTGTGTGTGCGCGCGTGCGTGCGTGAGTGCATTTTAAAAGTATTCTATTTAGGTTTGAGTGAACAATCCCACTCTCTTTCCATCCCTCTCCTCAGGTAGATGGAGTCAAGCAGTGTTGTCTGGTGAGATTTGAGGACAACTCAGAATTCTGGGTTCTAAGAAAAGACATTCACTCTTGTAAGACTTACAACTTACACTTGTTTTTCTCAGTTAACACAAATAATTTAACAGAGGGTTTTTGGGCACTGCGGAATTACGTTTGAATCAAAAGTATTATCCCCTAAAATTAGGATTAAAATATTTAATACATATCTACCCTTTCTATTGCTAGGGGACTAATTGAGGGTGCTCCAACTATTATCATATTTTAATCATCTTTATTTTTTACCTTACCTTGATTTACCTCAGGGAGTTTACAGAAATTAATAAAACGTTTTTAGATTTTTCTCTCTCAGCTTTGAAAAGTTTGTTCTTAATTTTATGCTCTCTCTCCATTCTGATCCATTGTAGTTCAAAAGAATGTTGCGCAATTAAGGTCTCTAGTCAAGGTTGAAATACAACATTCCCTGGAAATGTTGGCAATTCTGATGGGGGACTTTTAGGTGTAATTGGTGTATTAGAGTGTATTTATGAATTTATTAGTGTAATGACTCCATAGGGAAATGGCGCCCCCACGTAGTTTGTGTAAAGTGAAGGGAAGCACAGCCAAATATCCACATGTCAAAAGGAGTGAATTCTGAAAGGGTGCGGGGAGACATTGAAATCAATGAACTGGCAAGGAAATGAATCAATATACATAAATTAACACTGTTGAGTGATCACTCACTTTCTTCCCCTCTCTCTCTGTTACTCACTCCTTTTCTCTCTTGCTTCAGTCTCAGTTGGAGTGGAAGAAGTTTGCTGTATCTGTGATGCCCCGCCTCTTAAAGAACCTCTCATCAATTGTCTTAAATGTCGTCACGGTAAGAAAACACAGCATGTTATGTACTATTCATAGAGGTTTTTTCAAATAATAATTTATGACAGATATTTTTAAGAAAGAAAAAAACAATGACATCTATTTTTTTCTTCAGTTTTCTACCAGATAATATACACTGACTGTACAAAACATTAGGAACACCTTCCTAATATTGAGTTGCACCCCTTTTGCCCTCAGAACAGCCTCAATTCGTCAGTGCATGGACTCTACAAGGTGTCGAAAGCGTCCCACGTGGATGCTGGCCCATGTTGACTCCAATGCTTCCCAGAGTTGTATCAAGTTGGCTGGATGTCCTTTGGGTGGTGGACCATTCTTGATACACACGGGAAACTGTTGAGCGTGAAAAACCCAGCAGCGTTGCAGTTCCTAATGTTTTGTACACTTCAGTGTATAATATTTCATGAAAAGAGGCAAGGAAAAGGCCTCCATCAGTAACATATCCTCAGTATGTGAATTACAGTAAACACTCTCTCCATTCCATAACAGGTTATCATCCTGAGTGCCACACTCCGTCCATTGAGCCGGAAGCTGACAGCAATTCTTGGATATGTCGGCAATGTGTTTTTGCAGTGGCAACCAAGGTTAGACTGCTAATCTTTCTGTTTCACGCGCTGCCTCTTGGCTCAGGGAAAATATCCAGTTCAGACTTGTAAATGTTTTTATCTATTCGGAGGAAGCAATTTCAATACCAGTGTTGTGTTAAACAGTGTTGTCTATGGTCAATGGATATATCTGAAGGAAACCACAGAAATGTTACAACTCTGTATTATTGACCATAGGGATTAGATACTCCTCTATGTTTTGCCTGGACATCTGACCAGTTAGTCAATGCATATTTTTTTCAAGATTATACTGTATTATAGTCATTATGGTCAGTAATTCATGTATGCTCCAATTCTGTACTGTAGGTGTTAGATGAGGGAGCACTGTGGTTAATGGCTAATTGTTCATCGGTCAATGTCCATATCTCATTGACCTGACTTTTCTCAAGATATTATCTCACTCAGCTGAGCTACAATAAAATGAGATGAATTGCTTTTTCTGGTTAGTTCCCATCAAATGTCATCTATCTTGAATGTACTGACATGACAGTGAGTGGAGAGGTCGCTGTAGTGAATCGATTTGTCAAAATTGTCTTTCAGAGAGGGGGAGCCATCAAACGAGGACGGTTTGCCCGGCTCATGCAAATCATGAAACTTCGGCTGCCCTATCAGCTGTCATCTTTAGACTGGGACCCACAGCATCTGACCAACCAGCAGCAGTGCTACTGCTACTGTGCCGGACCTGGAGAGTGAGTGACACTTTATAGCTTCTAACAGAGTGGATAAATTATGTTATAACATTTTATAATTAGTGTTTAGCACATGTATTGTTCAATAAGCTATACTATTCCTTTTCCTTACCAACAAAAACAAATTGAATATTCATATTGGAACCCTTATGTCCTTTTCACCATTGTATAGCTCTACTGTCAAGACATACAGTGGGGAAAAAAGTATATAGTCAGCCACCAATTGTGCAAGTTCTCCCACTTAAAAATATGAGAGAGGCCTGTAATTTTCATCATAGGTACACGTCAACTATGACAGACAAAATGAGGGGAAAAAATCCAGAAAATCACATTGTAGGATTTTTAATGAATTTATTTGCAAATTATGGTGGAAAATAAGTATTTGGTCACCTACAAACAAGCAAGATTTCTGGCTCTCACAGACCTGTAACTACTTCTTTAAGAGGCTCCTCTGTCCTCCACTCGTTACCTGTATTAATGGCACCTGTTTGAACTTGTTATCAGAATAAAAGACACCTGTCCACAACCTCAAACAGTCACACTCCAAACTCCACTATGGCCAAGACCAAAGAGCTGTCAAAGGACACCAGAAACAAAATTGTAGACCTGCACCAGGCTGGGAAGACTGAATCTGCAATAGGTAAGCATCTTGGTTTGAAGAAATCAACTGTGGGAGCAATTATTAGGAAATGGAAGACATACAAGACCCCTGATAATCTCCCTCGATCTGGGGCTCCACGCAAGATCTCACCCCGTGGGGTCAAAATGATCACAAGAACGGTGAGCAAAAATCCCAGAACCACACGGGGGGACCTAGTGAATGACCTGCAGAGAGCTGGGACCAAAGTAACAAAGCCTACCATCAGTAACACACTACGCCGCCAGGGACTCAAATCCTGCAGTGCCAGATGTGTCCCCCTGCTTAAGCCAGTACATGTCCAGGCCCATCTGAAGTTTGCTAGAGTGCATTTGGATGATCCAGAAGAGGATTGGGAGAATGTCATATGGTCAGATGAAACCAAAATATAACTTTTTGGTAAAAACTAAACTCGTCGTGTTTGGAGGACAAAGAATGCTGAGTTGCATCCAAAGAACACCATACCTACTGTGAAGCATGGGGGTGGAAACATCATGCTTTGGGGCTGTTTTTCTGCAAAGGGACCAGGACGACTGATCCGTGTAAAGGAAAGAATGAATGGGGCCATGTATCGTGAGATTTTGAGTGAAAACCTCCTTCCATCAGCAAGGGCATTGAAGATGAAACGTGGCTGGGTCTTTCAGCATGACAATGATCCCAAACACACCGCCCGGGCAACGAAGGAGTGGCTTCGTAAGAAGCATTTCAAGGTCCTGGAGTGGCCTAGCCAGTCTCTAGATCTCAACCCCATAGAAAATCTTCGGAGGGAGTTGAAAGTCTGTGTTGCCCAGCGACAGCCCCAAAACATCACTGCTCTAGAGGAGATCTGCATGGAGGAATGGGCCAAAATACCAGCAACAGTGTGTGAAAACCTTGTGAAGACTTACAGAAAACGTTTGACCTGTGTCATTGCCAACAAAGGGTATATAACAAAGTATTGAGAAACTTTTGTTATTGACCAAATACTTATTTTCCACCATAATTTGCAAATAAATTCATTAAAAATCCTACAATGTGATTTTCTGGATTTTTTCCCCCTCATTTTGTCTGTCATAGTTGACGTGTACCTATGATGAAAATTACAGGCCTCTCTCATCTTTTTAAGTGGGAGAACTTGCACAATTGGTGGCTGACTAAATACTTTTTTTCCCCACTGTAATGTGTTTTTCAGTTGAGTATTGCAGCCTCTTTGAAAAATACATAATATACTCTTGTCAGTTGGCCACCAGATGTTAGATATGTTTTAGGCCATTGGGGAGTGTGGTTAATGTTTCTATTTTCCAACTGCAGGTGGAACTTGAAAATGTTGCAGTGTGGAAGTTGTGGTCAGTGGTTTCATGAAGCTTGCACACAGTGTCTGACCAAGCCGTTGTTATATGGAGACAGGTGAGACAGAGTATTGTTATCTATAACCTTGTACTGTTTCTTTGAATTACCATTGTCAGATAGGTTAATAAACCATAACAGATAGGTTATTAAACTGGCAGTGGTAGGGCTAATGCTGTTAGTGTTAATTCCTAATAGCAGCGCAGTTGTTATTCTGCCTCTCTGGTGTCCAATGTAATGTGGTAGAGGTAAAAATGAATTCAAATGAGTCCAGTCCACTACATTATTATTGTCAGATTAACCATCTGTATTATCCTACTGGTTTAATGCCCATGATATACTATTACTCATTGTTTCTGCATAGGAAAATAATGTTTGAGATTGATGGTGAGGTAGAATGTGGTGGGTTGTTACATCTGACAAACAGGTGATGGAAACTGGGAAGAATTGGCTGACAGTAGCAACCATGTGCTGTGTTATGTTTCCATTGACTTTTATATCTAGTCAATCACAGACAAAAATAGAATAATAGGTTTTCTATTTCTTTCTGAAAGGTTTTATGAGTTCCAGTGCTCAGTCTGTGCAAGTGGACCAGAGACAATTCAACGGCTACCCATGAGCTGGTAAGGCTATACAGTATCTGCTAAGAGAAGAATACATCATTTTAACTGCAGGGAATATCACAATAACACACTCTTGAAAACCAGTTTCTTATGACAGGTTTATTGAGTCGTGTGGGTTACAATATGTTAATTCCTCTTACTCAATAATGTAATGAAAAGCTTTGTGATGTGACTAATTATGAACTAACTACGTCTTTTCCTGGTGTATTTGTTGTAAATACAGGGTAGATTTGGCCCATTTGGTGCTCTACCACCTCTCCTTGTGCTGCAAGAGGAAATACTTTGATTTCGACCATGAAATCATGTCGTTTGCCAATGAGAATTGGGACTCTTTGCTTCTAGGCTCGGTATAAATATTTCCTCACATACGTGCTATGATGAAATGATGTGAAAGTGTTAGCTAGAGTCATTGGTTAGCAGTCATGTGGTAATTATATGCACTTGTCATTGTTATTTAGCACATTTTAAATGGTAAATATCATTTGTAGTTTATTGTGGCTCTCAGGTACTGCTGTTGCATTTAAATCAGTCATACCCTTTTTTTAATGAACTGTTCACAAATCACATTAGTAACTAACTACATTATCCATGGAAATGTTTATCTTTCGCCAATGAATGTCAATGTGTCTCTAAATGTGTTAACATTTGTTTCAGGCCACCATCCAGTGTTAATAAAACTCTTGATTTTCATTCCTCTCTGTCCCCCAGCTCTCTGACACACCAAGACAAGATCGCTGTCACAATCTGCTCAACGCTTTGAACTCCAACAAAGACAGGTGAGAGTTCGCATATGATGCGAAGAATAAACAGAAGCCACAGCTATGCATGACCAGATTTATGATAGCGTTGCTTCTGGAATTGGACATAAGGGTAAAGAAAATACAGTTAGTTCATTGTTTCTTAATTTTGATATGATCAGTAGATAATAATAAGAAAACACAGACAATAATGATAACTTGTTTTAAAAAAAATGACTTTACAAAGTTGTTGTCTACAAGTTTTGAAAGTTGTCCTTTTCTTTGTGATGTCATCCAGGTTTGTCTCTGGTAAAGAGATCAAGAAGAAGAAGTGTCTTTTTGGGCTCCAGGTCCGAGCTCCGCCTCCCCTGACCTCTGATTCGTCCCCCCTCATCACTGACCCGCCCATCAACATCACCCAACGGAGAAGGTCAGAGTAAGGACAACTTCTGTGATTTTTATTCTCTGATCATCACAAACACAAACCTCCTTATATGGATACATTCATTCTAGTAATTAATTACACATTTACAATAGTGAAAAAGAGTGGCACCTTGTAGACGGTGGTCTTTCCAGCTGAATAGGAACAACTGTTCCTAACTAAACAAGCACCTGTGTGCCTCATTAAATCATTATGGGAAGGACACACTTATTTCACTCTGGTGAATATATTTATAACTAATATTTTGATCAATAAATACATAATCTATAGTGTGTGTGTGCATACATGCGTGTACATGTGCATGTGGACATTGATTATCTTGCTAAACATTCTCAACACCATCTTCTCTTTCATTCTCTATAGGCTTAAAAGAACAAACACCACATTTATACCCTGACATAGTTTTCTAAGTAAAAACATTGCACCACTCCTCAAGTTATTGACTGTGTCTCTGTGTTGTTGTGTGGAGCAGCCCATTGTCACTGCCCTGCCAGAGGAGAGCGGTGGGGCCAGAGTCACGCAAATCAAAGCGGCGCATCATGGAGACACAGGTCAGTGCTTCTGTCTCGAACCAGGCATCAAGGGAGAGATCAGCCATCAGCCGCCCCCTCACTGCGTAGCAAAGAGCTGCCTGGCAATGGAATGACTTGTCAGTCACAATCAGTCAGTGTGTGGAGAAAAGGTTCTCATTTTAGCCAGTGTTGTTGTCTGTTTACATATTCTTCAACGCCTAGCCCAGCCTACCCATCATACACTATTGAATTGAAGCTGGTTTACCGTTTATGACTCGATCGAGTATGACAACATGTTATGGTCACGGGTTTAGAAATATATTTTTGACTATGAATAGAAAATACACATCCTTTTATACTACTGATCAGGCTGGCTCCCTTATCCTGAGACAATAAATGTTATGGAACGGTCGTATTTCAGCGAGCAGCACTTCCAGCAGACTGTTGTATCCTGAGCGGACATTAATCATCCTCCATCTTGGGGCAGGTTGGTTATCACAGGGAAAGTGCGAGGGGAAGGTACGCTGATATGCGGCGTCTGGGAGCGCTTCCAAGTGCACTTTGCAGTCGATTACAGTTTGGCCAGGTGGCGCTGGCACTTTGACAGTGCAGTATTGACAGAGCACCTCGATTTAAAGGGACAGCGTGCTAGTAAGGGGAGGGAATAATGCTAGCATACCACTACTGTAATTACTGTATATGTTGTGGGTCACAGTCCAGCATTGGAGGGTGATAGAGCTGAGGGTGTGCTGAGAACTGAGGAAGCAAAGGATATATGGGATAGATTACTGATGTTTTGTTGTTAAGGGAAGCAAGCTCACACTGTAAGAAACGCTACCTCAGTCTCCACAATATGAATCTACTTATCATAGTCAGTGGACACCGCTTCAAATTAATGGATTTGGCTATTTGAGCCACACCCGTTGCTGACAGGTGTATAAAACCGAGCACACAGCCATGCAATCTCCATAGACAAACATTGGCAGTAGAATGACCTTACCGGCCGAGCAGCCGCACACAAGCCTAAGATCACCATGTGCAATGCCAAGCGTCAGATGGAGTGGTGTAAAGCTCACCGCCATTGGACTCTGGAACAGTGGAAAAGCATTCTCTGGAGTTATGAATCACGCTTCACCATCTGGCTGTCCGACGGACAAATCTGGGTTTGGCGGATGCCAGGAGAACGCTACCTGCCCGAATGCATAGTGCCGACTGTAAAGTTTGGTGGAGGAGGAATAATGGTCTGGGGCTGTTTTTCATGGTTCGGGCAAGGCCCCTTATTTCCAGTGAAGGGAAATCTTAACGCTACAGCATACAATTACATTCTAGATGATTCTGTGCTTCCAACTTTGTGGCAACAGTTTGGGCAAGGCCCTTTCCTGTAATGCAGGTTTAAAGCTGTCACGTGAAAATAATTATTTCCTTTTGGAAAGACTAGCCCTCTGTACTAACAAAGTTCAAGCGTTTGCAATTACATTACATTTTTTAAATGATATTTATCAAATGATACTGTATGTTAGTAGACCTGGGTTTTTATTTAGATGTATTCACAAGCAGTATGGATTATTCTACAAAGGTAGCATTAAAGGACATGAACTGAAGTATCGTGTCTAATGTGTGATTGGATCGACTGATTTGACGTCAAAACACTAGCTAATCAGTGTTTCTCCTGTGTCCAGCCTTGTCTGCCCCCGGTCCCAGCCACCCCAATAGATCTGGTGCCATGTTGCCATGGCTACGTAGGTGGGACTAACCTCTACAACTCCAGGAAGTCGGAAGAGGAGCTGAATTTGGGGTTGGTACTGTTATTGTATTGGTTACACTTGACATAATGTATAACAAGTAATAATGCATTATACTGCATTTACAGAGTGTTACCGTTTGTTTTACATTACATCCTCAGTGATTTAGGCTACCCTTATTAGGCAATATGTGGGTGTGGAAATGCATGCATGCATTGTTGCTTTTTGTCACCGTTTTTTTTTATCCCTGGTCTTTCCATAGCTCTCCACCTAAGAGGATGTTTGCCCTGTATCACCCAACCTATAACGGAGCCCCAGCCATCTCTAGAACCCTGCATCACTATAGGTCAGTATTAACCACAGCTCCTCTTGCTGTCCGGGGACTACCCTCAATCTAGACATCTAGAGAGGAAACCATAGCTGTGCCTGGATGACAACGGCAAAAAGTATGAATCGTGAAATATTAATCTCTCTCTCTCTCTCTCTCTCTCTCTCTCTCTCTCTCTCTCTCTCTCTTGCTCTCTCTCTCTCTTGCTCTCTCTCGCTCGCTTGCTCGCTCTTGCTCTCTTTAGTGCGGAAGACCCTTGTCGAGTGCCGCCCCCTTGCCTCCCCTTCTCCCTGTCATCGTCCCACCATCACCACCACCACCACAACAACCACCACCAGCACCAGCCTGGCCAGAAGTTAGATCCCTGCCCCTCCCTCCTGCTGCGTGACGTCCCTTCCTATCCGGGTGGCGTGGGGGGAGGGGGCGGGGGGGATGGGTCAGCTGCCAGGGGCTGGGGGGGCGGGGACGGGGTGAGGATTTTGGCGAGGCGAGTAACACCAGACGGGAAGGTCCAGTACCTCGTGGAGTGGGGGAACGTGAGCGTGTACTGAGAGAGAGAGAGAGAGAGAGAGAGAGAGAGAGAGAGAGAGAGAGAGAGAGAGAGAGAGAGAGAGAGAGAGAGAGAGAGAGAGAGAGAGAGAGAGAGAGAGAGAGAGAGAGAGAGAGAGAGAGAGAGAGAGAGAGAGAGAGAGAGAGGAGGGGGGAGGATCAAAACACCAGAGTGCTTGGCAGCAAAGAGGGGAGATTGGAGAGGGCTTGAGAGAGAGAAAAATAGATACAGATACAATGACTGTTGTGCAGGTGCCACAGAAATGTGTGGCAACATCAAGTACAAGCAAAACAAAAAAGACAAATCCAGGTTGCTCAAACGATATCGCCTCCATTCTATATCATCACACTACGTGTTACTATATCTCCCTCTTTGCTAGTGTTTCCCCTATATTTGTACTGTATACCTTTGGAATATGCCTTTGCATTTATCATGTTTACGTTTGAAGATTGTATATACAGTATTTGATTATAGGCAATTTGTTACGTTACCTTTTGTCATACTTGATTTACATGATAGTATGTAATAGAAATATATTAGTAGGAGCCACAAGAGGGCTTTTGTTTTTATAGTTAGATTTATATATTCACAATATATTATTGAATGATTTGATTTGATGATGTGGTTGCATAGTGCCTATCTGGATTGTGCATCTGCAGATTGAGAAGTTTACCTGAATCAAGGGATCAGGTGATTGAAATGTCTGACATATATGATAACTATTCTATAAGGTTTTCTTCCTCATCCACCAATTGCAATTGAAGAGTCACAACAATATTGTGTAGGCTTTCACACACAGAATTAGTGTAAAATACATTCCAAACAAATATCAAAACATCTCTTCCAGATTAGTGATCAAAATCTTTGATCAGATAGCCATGGAAAATGGTTGCTCGTTGAGACAGATTTGTCTGTCAATATATGTTGAGGGGTGTTTTACATTCTTTTTGGGAAGACAAGTCAACATACTATGGTATTATGTGCAGGTGAAACTATTTGTACTGTTTTCCATTTTCAGGTCATAGACAGAGGAGTCAGCTCCTATCTTCCAGGTTACACTGAGGATGAGAGATAGTGTTAACTCTGGCCCACTTCCAAGCTGATACCTAAGCCCTAGTCTGGACACTAGATCTGACAAGATTGGATAGATATGAGCAATATGGCTTAAGTTTCATCCGGCCTATCAGAGGGCAAGGTGGAGCTTTCATCATATTTCTCTAATATCCAATCCTTTCAGATGTACCCAAATGTCTAAGGGGTTAGGGCTATGGGTGTTTGATTTGGAATTGGGCCCCAGAGATCATAGTGGAACAGGAGGTTGTGTATAGAACTCTAGAATATCATAGTGCAAGGTTCAGAGTTTATATTTATACAGATCTTTATTTCTGTCTTTTGTGGGATACAACACAGATAAGAGTAAATGTGTGAGTTTTATCCCCCAGAAGACAGATTGTGTTACAGGTGTAGTTACAGTAAATACCTAGATAAAACAATAGGCAGTTAATACTGTTATAATCATGTCAACAGAAAACATTTTCAGTCATTTTTTTAAAAACCACAACAAAGTGTCGCCCATTCCCCAGATTGAATGATGTGAACTATGCCATCTGTTACTTAAGCAATAAGGCCCGAGCGGGTGTGGTATATGGAAAATATACCACGGCTAAGGGCTGTTCTTACGCACAACCAAACGCTGAGTGCCTGGATACAGCCCATAGACGTTGTATATTGGCCATATACCACAAACCCCAGAGGTGCCTTTTTTGCTATTATAAAGTGGTTACCAATGTAATTAGAACAGCAAACAAGTAATTTTGTGTCATACCCGTAGTATACGGTCTGATATACGACATCTTTCAGCCAATCAGCATTCAGGGCTCGAATGACCAGGTTTATAATAGTGGATAGATGATTGCTCAGCCTGGTCTCATAGACTAGACGTAACCTAACCCTAACCTTAACCCAGTAACCTAACTTCTAACCCTGACCTTAACCCCTAACCCCTAGCGTAGTTAAAGTTAGCCTCCTAGCTAACTTTAGCATTAGCCACCTAGATAAAGTTAGCCACAACAAGTTGGAATGCGTAACATATCATATGTTTTGCAAATTCGTAACATATTGTATAAATTGCAATTCGTAACATATCATGCGAATTGTAATTCATAACATATGATACGAAATGGATGATGGACATCCACAAATGAATACATATCATACTAATTGGAGTGTCACGGATTTACATTTACTATGTTACGTCTACCCCTGAGTCCAGGTTGGATTGCTAAGGGTTTGGCATATTTCTAAACAGCAGTGCAGGTCAAATGCACCTCCCAACTCAGTCCTTCCCATCCCAGTTTAGGATTTAGATAATACTCAGTGAATTTGGCTGTAGTTGAATAGGAAGAGGTCTCTGGAACCATCAGTTCGATGGTAATGAATGTATCTGTATGTTTTCTATGGTAAATTATGTCTATAGACCCGTCAAGTGTTCGTTACTGTAGGTTATAGATGGAACTATACAAAATTACTTCAAAGGACTGGGGTGAATCTGATTTTGAGTTGAGGAACAAGAAGCTAAGAGAGTCTCTATAGTCTTCTCTTTTTTTATTTGTAGTCAAGTCCAAGTTTGATTTGATGTATTTTTGGACTTTTGGTCAAATTACGTTTATACATGTATAACCTACGCTGACACAGCTAATGTAAAATTTTAAAAATTAAAAGTTGCCCTTCACATCTTACCAATGTGCTTTGAGTGTTTTCTGTCCATTTCTTGTTTAACTTAAAATGTGTATAGGCCTATTTGTATTTACAGTAGGCCAGCCAATAATAATAAATGTTGAATTGCCCTTCAGGGACAATGAAGTTATATTCTATTATTTTCTATTCTATTCCATTTTATTCTATTGGTATAGCAATAGACTCTACGCACCCCATTCACATGCAGGTATTATGTGATGAATCAATGGCCCTTCTGCCAGGTAAACAGACTAGCTAGTCCTTATGGCTCTGTTGCCAAGAATCTCTTTGCCATGGCATGTCAAGAGCAGTTGATTCATTGCAGTGACATTTCAGATAGCCTAGTGAATCTTAGAGGGCTATGATGATGCATACTGCAGTAACTGTACGTTATCCTGTATAGATGGTGTCATTATAATTAGCAGATCACTATTGGCCTATACATAGGTTGGTTAGGTCGAAATGTATATTCACCATGAAAGCTTTGGATGTAATTCAGTATAATGCATGTACTTACTTACATTTCCCACTAGGAGGAGGTGTAAAGGAAAGATTAAAGTGCATTACCGTTCAGTCTCCAACTGCAGCTGCAAGAGCCAACCGCCAGGTGGTAGCCATAATCTAAATTTGACACGCTACTGTGCAGGCAGGTGAAGCAACTGATCCGATCAGGACGCCATGTTGGCTCTGTGGACCACTATTGGATCCAAGAGGAAATCATCAGCCAACTGCACACGTGATGTCATTCTTGAGCTTGATAATGTGTAGGTAGGCTCCATATCAATTTGTGCATGTGTGCATTGGACGAATACAATGCACATGTATAACTACTTTTTGCTTTGGTCCTTTTAGGACACCAGCAACTTAAAATGTGTCGCTAAAAATGATCAATAGCCTTATCAATAATTTTGCCCATAATCTTTGCAATAGAACATAAAAGTGCAGGAATAAAGATGAAACCAGTTTGCTCTGAATTTAGAGCCTACAGGCAAAATATTTTTGGGGGGTTCGTTTTGACATTTGAGATGAGTTGGTGTAAGTCATTCTCGAAGACCATTCATTTAGCCTACCCCTTGAGAATATATCCATTGACCATGTCACCAGATGTAGGCCTACAGCCTAAACTAAGTTTCAGACTTCCTAATAGCCTAGCTTATAGTCTACCACCAAAACGAGAGAATTATAGCGAACTGTAATGTAGGCTACCGCGTTATTGGCAGCAGCACGGATCTGTGTAGTGTGTTTGTGTGTGCGCGCGTTTGTGTGTGAGCGTGTGTGACTGTGCATGCGGTGGCGTGCGCGTTTGATAGCAGTAGAAGGGGCCGTATTCAATAAGGCGAATTTAGCCATCATTACTTCTTGCACTTCAAGGAGCAAACATGGAACATACAATGCATATATAGGCTATATATATATGTTGGAAAGCGCACACACGCGCGCACTCACTCATCCGCCCCCTCTCTCTCTCTCTCTCTCTCTCCTCTCTCTCTCTCTCTCTCTCTCTCTCTCTCTCTCTCTCTCTCTCTCTCGTGTTTTCCCCCCACACCTCAATAACGGTGCGTGCGATATATTTGTGCATATACTTTTATGCACGGGGATACATTTTCAATGGCTTATCGGCGGTCGTGGATTATAATTTCTATTTTTGATTTCAACAGCAGTGGAATATTGGTTACCATCGACTCCAATTGTGAATAGCGTATTCCTTATTTTCTGACTGGTGTGTGGTATTTTTTTTGCATGCGGAGAGACTGTCAAGACTCGAAGACCACGTTCAATGCCGTTGGAACATGTCCTATGTTCCCTTTCAAGGTAAGAGAACTGATATATTCCACTATTGCATCTCCCTCCCTCCCCTCCCCCCTCGTCTCTCTCTCTCTCTCGCTCTCTCCATCATACAATACAGAATTGAGCAAAGGGGTGCGTTAACGCGGCATAGTGGAAACACAGGCAGGTACAGCAAGAAGTAGTGTCTTCCAGATAGCTACCTACCTGCTTTTATCACTGTGTGCCAGTCAATATGTCACTGTGCCTGTGCATGCTAAGAAGGATAGTTCATAGTGTTGCAATGTGCTGAGGTGTGCATGCCTGCTGGTATCATGGTCTTGCAAGTACACTTCCCTGTGTGCAACATCCATAGATCATGGTCACAGGTAGCCTACTGTATCTCCATGATACTGTGTGCAGTAAGGAGCCTGAAGGGGTACTTATTTGCTTGTTTTTGAGAGTTTGTAGTGGAGGAAAATGGTCCCTGAAAGTGTATGTTCAAATCAGTTCCCTTGGTATTGTGACCCTGCAACCATGACTAATGCTGTGTGAACAGAGTACAACTTGAGCTACTTCAATGTACAATGTTATGGCCACTTGAAAGTTTGGAGGGACTTTGAGGGATCCAAGGGTTGTATGGTACACTGAGTCCAGTCCCTATTACCAAAGTATTTCTGTACAGCAACTGCAAATCTTGTGTCAGGAGAATGTGTGTGTGTGTGTGTGTGTGACAGAGAGAGTGGGGAGAGAGTGAAAGAGAGGGAAAGAGAGAGAGAGAGGTAAAGGGAGAGCGAGAGTGAGAGGGGGGGGGGGGGGGGGGGGAGATAGAGAGACTTTAGGCTGCTGAGGTGTGATGTCTTGTACCACCGGGTACAGTAAGGACACTGCTGTACTGGTGATGCATTGACGAAGCTCAAACCAAAATCATGTTCAGCAGCCAATACATGAATGTCTTAAAGTTATCAGTCATTCAAAGAGAATGACCGGTTCAAACTCTGTAATATTATGCTTTTGGTCATCTTCTAAGACAGCGGATATAGCCAAACGGCCTCTTGTGTGAGCACAGCAATAGAAGTTGGTTGCATAATATTTGTGAGATGTGAAGCTACTGTATGAGAGCCCACTCTGGAGAGATCACTGCCAGAAAAATGTGTGAACAGTAGTATTATACCTTCAAAACCCATGTCAATAGGCATGTACAGGCTATACTCTTTCCACTACAATAGATGGCACCATCAACCTTTTAGATGTAACAGGTTTTCTGGGAAGAGGAGTCTGCGTTTGAATCTCAAGGTAATGTTATCAAAAGGAAATCAGGTGATCAGTCACATCTTTTTTTAACTTATGGCTGACTGAACACTAGTTCCCTATAAAAACACTTGTTTTATCTCTCCTTGACGAACACCATGCCAAAATGCATCAGTTTTGAAGTTGTTAGACTGAAAATGCCATAGAAATAAAGGCATTTTAAATAATATGCAGAGTGCTGCCTTGGCTCTCCTGTATTTTGTATTTTACACCAATGTTTATATGTTTGGGTCCCAATTCCATGGTTACTCAAAAGTAATTAGGCCTATATGAGTATCACATGTACATTTAATGTGAAGATAAGATACTGTAGGTCTCTCTCTCTCTCTCTCTCTCTCTCTCTCTCTCTCTCTCTCTCTCTCTCTCTCTCTCTCTCTCTCTCTCTCTCGCTCTCTCTCTCTCATGGTGCAGATGGACAGCATGGAGCACCAGCCAGCCACTGAGCCAACCCAGTCATGTCGATTTTACAGTAGTTTGATACAGCAGCTCCTGTCAAGCATGGGCATTCATTTTAAAGAGACAGTGCACCCCCAATGCACTGACTGCAGCACTCCTCTCATGTGACATAAGGGGCTGTCTTACACCCTCCGCCAATCGAGCTGTGCCAGGAACCATCATCTGTTAGGCTATTACTGTACTGTATGCTCAAGATCTACCGTGTTCGATGATCTGTCAGGGGAAAGGCTCATTCATTTTCCAATGGGTGTTGAGTACATTGGAGTTCTGTTTGCGGCGGTTTGAAGTGTTGTATTGAATTAATGCAAAAATTAGTAAATGATGCAACTCACTAGATACCATCTCGTCTGATGTAAATTCATTGTAGTGATCTGGCATTTTGTGAGTTAAAGTGCCTGCTGTCCAAGTTTCGTGATGTTGGGAATTAATTGGCCAACTTCCCTCAAGACGAGAAAAGTCAACATTCAAGAACATCAAGCATGACTATGTCTCAGCCTTTTTCCAGCAATGCTAACAGCTAGCGTATACATGAAAGCAAAGACAATGTCGGTTGGTATCCTCAAGGAAATATCGTAGTCATAATTTCGGCCCACAAACATAAAGTCAATCAAAGTTAAACTGCCCCTCATTTGCTTGTATCTGCATACTGTTTAGCATATTCATGGCACAGTGCAGCGAACGTATGAATAAGCACAGGAGGTGGAGTAGAGCAGTTTGATGGTAAGATTATTTATGCATATTAACATTTACTGGCAGATGCTTTAAGGTCTTTGGTTTTGCCCTAGTTCAACCAATGACTCGCCTCTATCATAAAAAGTGTTCATATTGCACCATGGACCATGACGCTATACGGCACAGCGAGATCGGGTCCAGGTTGAAACATGTTCCAGGTCATCAAGTATCATGCCTGATAACCATACTTAAGTGAAAGTGTCCACCGCAACGTGTCATTCTACCAAAGCACAGTATAAAAGGTGCACGGTTTATTACAAAGTATCACAGTGCTCCAATGCCCTTGATAGTTTCTGAGTGTGACATGATAAAGTGTCCTCTGGGTAGTGTCAGCAAAAATGTTATTTTGAGGGCTGCCCCCCATAAGCCATGTTGTCTGCGGGGAAGGACATGTTTGTTGTGGTGGAAAGACCTTAAAATGATATTGTAATAATGCTAATAGGAGTAGCCCAAAAATGAAATCAGACAAACTGAATGTTTTTGCTACTGTAGTTTGCTTGAGTACTGGGCGAGCTCATGAACTATAATACACATTATCATTCACATTTCCTGTTGTTGCAGGATTATTTTCCTGCTGTAGCAAACTGGCTCAAATTAAGATCCTAAATATGTAGTCTATGGATATAGGGCCATGTCAGGGAACTCTCTCCCCCTTGAACAGTTCTAGTACAGTGAGTTCAGGTATGCCGCTAAGCCTCTGTCCACGGCTCCTCTCCCTCACTATCTCTCTGTTCCCCAGCAGTACTGACTGAACCTGCTGTGGTGAAAAGGCCCAGACAGACCCCATCCTTACTGCTGATTCTGGGGAAATCTACATAAGGATCCCATTAGAAATGAGTAGCTGGGAGAAATGGTTGCTTAGTGCAGACCACACCATGGGAGGGGGGCCCACTTATTCAATCCCACCGCAAAGCCTGGAGCCCAATGACTCAATGAGTTTGTGTTTAAAGGATGCTCGTCTTTTGATTGAACCTGTCAGGATTCACTCATGGCAAAAGGTCAGGATGAGCTATCTCCTCTCCTAAGCCAATCGGAGGGCTGCCAATCCGGCATAATTATGTCCCTGCGGATGGTTGGCTCACAGGCCTTCCAGACATTATGTCATTGGATCCCACGGATTCTCATGATGCATGGACATAGATTGTGCCTTCAGACCTGGAGATATTCAACAACTTACTGTACATACACTACCGTTCAAAAGTTTGGGGTCACTTAGAAATGTCATTGTTTTCGAAAGAAAAGCAATTTTTTTGTCCATTAAAATAACATCAAATTGATCAGAAATACAGTGTAGACATTGTTAATGTTGTAAATGGCTATTGTAGCTGGAAACGGCTGATTTTTAATGGAATATCTACATAGGCGTACAGAGGCCCATTATCAGC